AAAAAATTACAAAAATAAGGTTTCAACTATAAATTTTCAGGAAATTCGGACGTAGACACTTTAACTCTCACTTTTAGTGAGGATGTATTACAGTAATACTGATATGATAGATTCGAGTCATATACATCAATATTTGTTTAAAAAAAATTGTATCTAAATATATATAAAATCTGAAATCTTTACCTTAAAATACATACAATTTTCAAAAAAAGGGAATGGGGGTGATTTCATAGTACAATTTCATTACTTTAGATATTATTTTGAAATATAATTCTGGTTAGAAGCATCATTAATAAGTCAAATTCTTAACAACAGCAAAATGCATGAGTAAGTTTTTGAAAATATATGTTCTGGAAAGTCAGTGGACGGGCGCAGGTCAGGGTACACCTCCCGTTGTCAAATATTTGTACACACACGCGCGCACACACAAGCATCACACACACGCGCGCACGCACGCCACCACACCGCATTCACACACACACACGGGCATGCGCCACGTACAATCACCCCACGCGCACCACGCCACACAATACCAATTTACACAGACACGGCGCGCGCACACACATACACGCACACGCACATGCACACGCACACACACGCCTACCATACATACATACATACATGCATACATACACACACACACGCACACGCACACGCCACACCACACGCCACCCCGCACACGCACACGCACACCTCGCACACGCACACGCAACAGCGCACAGCACACGCACACGCACACGCCACGCCCAACGCACACGCCACACACGCACACACGCACACGCACATACACATACACATACACACACATACAACTGCAGCCGGATCTCGTGGGGTTTGTCTTAAAATTTTCGTCTCACCAGCTGCGCGGCAGTGATTGGCTGGTTTACTAACCGCAGCCGCAAATGTCTTTTGGGTCGCGCTGTGTGGCGCGGGTGTGCGCGTGCCGGTGTGCGTGAGTGCGTTAGTGCGTGCCGTGCGTGCGTTCTTGCGTGCGTTTATGTGCTGGTGCAATGCTAGGTGAATGCTCCACCTAATAAATGCTATTATTATACCTTTAATCTACATTTAGCTATAGCATTATTATCACTAAACCGTGAGGAAAACACATTAATAGTTTAACACAATTTCAAAAAGTTATGGTATATATAGTGTGGTATGTGTTGCAGTCTTAGACAATCGAAACGGCGTCTAAAAATGTCAGAACATTGGGAGCCGGTAAGCGCGGGCACGGTTACACCCTCCGCTTGTCAAATATTCTGCACACACGCGCGCACGCACGCACACACGCGTATTCACACACATACGGGCATGCGCACGCACAATCACACGCGCACCCACGCACACACATACCACATTACACACACACGGGCGCGCACACACATACACGCACACGCACCCGACACGCACACGCACACGCACACGCACACGCACACGCGACCACGCACACGCACACGCACACGCCCACACGCACACCGCACACGCACCACCGCGCGCCACACACACACACACACACACACACACCACACACACACACCACACACAACTGGCAGCCGTCTCTCGTTGTATTCGGGTTTGTCTTAAATTTTCGCTCTCACAGCTGTGAGCGCCAGTGCTTGGGTGTTTATACACCGCACAGCCGCAATGGCTTTGGCGTGTGCTGCTGTTGCGCATGCGAATTTGGCGATTTAAATTTGGGTGCGGGTTGCCGATGCAATGCGAAGTTTTCGGAGTCCGGAGAAGCCGAACGTTTATCGCGCACATAACTTTTAGAAATTGCATCCAAAAGTCACTTTACGATCGAAAAATCGCGTCTCAACGTACGCGAATGTATTCGGGACGCCCAGAAGGTTCTATGCCACAGCTCGATTCGCGTGAGAATACGTCGCACGGTTTCGGAGGAGATACGGAAAACGACACTTCGGCTCTTTCTACTATTATATCATAGATCATGCTCTTACATCTATACCGAGTAGCTATACATACCTATATAGTACTCTACCTTGTAGCTACGATTTCGTACTTTACCGTGTAGCTATGGGCTAGTCATCTCTACCCGTGTAGCTATACGGGCTAGTACTCTACGCGTGTAGCTACGCGGCTAGTACTTTACGGGTAGCTATACAGACTATAATACTTTACCGTGTTATTATCGTTAGTACTCTACTGTGTAGCTACGAATTCAGTACTTTGCCGTGCTAGTTAGGGTAACACATCCTCCGGGTAACCGCGTAGACCTCGGTCTAGGCCGACAGCGCTCAACACCGCTGCATCCGCAGCAATAGTGCGTTCTCTGCCGAGCAAGGGGCACATGGGCCGTCCCAATAGATAATAATATAATAATAATAATAATAATAAAAATAGCAAGGCAGAGGAACGACCTCAGCCACACTCATCGCCCGGATCGCACATGTGCTGTGCTGGCCCCAACCGAGTACATAAATCGCCACAACAAGGTAGCCAGCTATCTGCCACTGGTCACATCTGGCAGTGCAACTTGGTGAGCAAGTAACTGACAAGTGGTTGAACATGACTCCGCAGACCAGTTATCAACATCGGAGATACTACCATAATGGCTGGGATATGGCAGTGCAGACAGATCGCACGATACTGCAAACCGCCCTGATATAGCTGCCTCCACAACAGGAAAGAAAAGCGAGCCTGTTGATTGACGTAGCCGTACCAGATGATTGTAACATCATGGTAAAGGAAAGAGACAAACTCACCAAATAAAAAGATTTGGAGATCCGAATTAGGATCCACCGGGATGTGGAATAGCTTAAGACGAGAATTGTACAGTGTGGTGGCTGTGAGCCCTTGGCTGCATAAAGAATAATTTTAAAGAAAGCCTTAAGAAAACTCCTGGCCACCACATGCGCAAAAGTGCAGCAAAAATCGCAACTACTGGAACACATCAAGCACCACAAAATTCTGGATTGAATCCCTATGTCCAGCAGGTTGGGACACGGTCAACCAGAAGCACCGGCTAATGCCGTGATCCCACTTAGAAATAATAATAATAATAATAATATGATAGTAAATAAACAAATATTGTACACACTGCCGTAATGTATTAATGCTTATTATGCACTCTCTATCGCTAAATAATTCCGGTAATAATTGTCTACGACACACACACTCACCGCGCGCGTGTATACAAACGAATAAAAAATAAAAAGAAGAAATTTACAGGTGTGCGTTTGGCGAGTGGCAGCCGCTGACGCAGCAGTGTGGCTCAATAGCGTCAGCGCGACGCAATAGAATATACATGTATACAAGAGCTAATAAAACCTACTAATGATACAGGAGCTGATAATACCTACCTAATGGTAGTATTATTAGCTCTTAATGTATATACAATGACTACGGCATATAGTTGATTTATGCGATTCCGATACCGTTCATCGACAGTCAGCAGCAGTACACTGAGAATACAGGTATAGGCATATAGAGAGACTGACACAGCAGCAACAACAGCAGCAGCAGCAACAACAACAACGACAACAACAACAACAATAATAATAATAATAATAATAATAATAATATTAATAGTAATAATAAATGGAGCAGCAGCAGCATTAGCAGCCGCAGCAGCAGCAGCAACAGCAGCAGCAAAAACAACAGAAGCAATAGATGCAGCAGCGGCAACAACAGCAACAGAAGCAACAGAAGCAGCAGTGGCAACAACAGCAACAGAAGCAACAGATGCAGCAGCGGCAACAACAGCAACAGAAGCAACAGCGGCCACAACAGCAACAGAAGCAGCAGCTTATAAGCGCTCGTTGTGAATGACCTACATGCGTATAGTCACCGTAAATGGTTTTGCCATGCGAATGCTTTAAGCTGGATATATTTAGTTATTAATAATATTGTGCGCCATAATTCGACAGATTTTACTGTGATTGCGATGTGAAAAATCGAGCATTCTCGTTTATAGACAGAACGGGGTTGTTCAGCACCTGTGTTACCCTTAACAATCGATTGGTTATCAGAAGTGGATCAATCCAAGTGAACGTGATTTTCTTGGTTAGAAACTTGGATATTTACTCCAGCAGTAACACTACCTATTGTAGGCATGCATGGTTGCATTAGAAGGAAAGCGCTAGAATTCTTTAATGAGTCCGAAATGCGCTGCAAATTTTGGAACTCTGCCAAGGTACTAGGCGGCAGTGCTGAGTCAGCAGTGACGCTGTTACCCAAATGATCAAGCACTCTGTTACGTTTAATTTCTGATGAAATGCTGCGCGAGCAAGCAACGCTGGAAAAAGTGAGACAATGTAATTTGTATTTCTGCGAAATAGACAATTCGGAGGTTGGATATACCAACGGGAATCATGCGTCTTCGCTACGCTTTAAGGTTTTCGTCTATCAGCAGCGCAGTTTTTTACACGATGAGCAGGCGTGAACTATGAACGACTGCATTGGCTACCGAAGTAGCACATGTATCAAAAAATCAAAAGCACGCGATTAAGTGACTGGGCACGGGTGCAGTATGTATGGCAGTTATGCCTTCTGAATACCATCGTAATGCTGCACCGCTTGCTAATGGATGTCTATTGAAATGCAAAGAAATGAACTATCAAAAGCGCGCTAAAGGTGTCTTGACGCGAGCTCTCAGACGAAACTCCGTCAGCGCACTTTACTTTAATGTCTCGTGACGTACTGGTATCGCATATCCTCTGGATAACTCCCTTGACGCCTATCCATGGGTGCGAGCTTACAATATTAATGCTAACAGCAGAAGAATATAAGCTGCTGAGCTGCTAGCCACAAAAAATTTTTATTGCTAAAGTAGCTGTATCGCATAGAGAAATATGAAAAAAATTGCGGAGATTTCATTTGGATACCATGCAGTAATGACTATCAGCAATACTTAAATAAATCTACGGCAGTTGTATTGTAAATGCACTATGTATAGTAATGGTAGCGTGACAGCTTGACAGCTTGTGAGTAGCGTGACAGCGAACTTTCTAACTCTCTCTTTCCTTATCAACGTGTTTCAGAGCATCCCTGCCCGGTGCCGGCCGTCAAGATGGCAGCAGCCCCTTGGTACGCCGGCGCCAACTCGACGTACGGCAACGGCAGCTTCAGTGACGACGAGCGCGAGGCGATCATCCACGAAACGCGCATCGGCTTCATCATCAGCGGACAGCTGCTGCCGATCATCGGCGTCATGGGAGTCGTCGGTAACTGTATGTCGCTAGCGATCCTCTGCCGACGCGAGATGCGCTCGTCGATCAACCTCTACCTAAGCGCGCTGAGCGTCTACGACACGCTGCTCATCATCACGGCGATCCTCTGCTTCGCCTTCCCCGCGATGCACATGTACGACCAGCTGCACGCGCAGACGAACGTGCTTGCCGGCTACGTCGCCGTCTACCCGTTCATGATCCGCTACATGTACCCGATCGCGTTGTTCGCGCAGACGGGCTCCGTCTGGCTGACCGTCTCCGTGAGCGTCGAGCGTTACATCGCCGTCTGTCACCCGCTGAAGGCGCGCTCGATGTGCACGATGTCGCGTGCGAAGACCGTCATCTCGATGGTGAGCGGCCTGTCGCTCGCCTACAACATGCCGCGCTTCTGGGAGACGGACACTGAGGAGTGGACGGACCCGGTGACGAACGTCACCGTCGTCGAGCACTGCAAGTCGGAGCTGCGCAAGAACGAGAACTACTACGTCATCTACTACGTGCTTATGTACCTGCCGATCATGAACGTCGTGCCCTTCCTCGCGCTGGCGATCTTCAACGTGCTCATACTGCACGCCGTGCGCAAGGCGCGCAGCGAGCGCATACAGATGAGTCGGCGGCAGGAGAAGGACATGAACACAGCAATGATGCTCATCTGCATCGTCGCCATCTTCTTCGTCTGCAACACGATGGCCGTCGTCATCAACATACTCGAGCTGGCGCGCCTGCTCTACGTCAGCGCGCTGATGGTGCACTTCAGCAACCTGCTCGTCACCTTTAACTCGTCGATCAACTTCATCATCTACTGCATCTTCGGCAAGAAGTTCAAGCTGCTCTTTCTGAAGATCTTCTGCCAGCGGCAGCCGGAGGCGCTCGCCTTCTCGCGCGCCTTCTCGATGAAGAGCATGTACGGCACCAGCTTCTACGAGCATTCGGCCAGCGGCAGTTCCGTGTACCGGTCGAGTTGTCGCTCGCAGCGTACGATACCGGGAAGCCTGGAGAGCTTAGCCAGCGGCCGGAGTCCGCGGCTGAGCAACGGCTTAGCGCGCGGCTACCGCCATGCGAACTCGCGAACGCCGAACCAATGTAATAACGGCGTCGCGCCCGCAAGAGGACGTCGGAACTGCCCGAAGTCCAGCGACTCGCTGTACATAATAGTGTCGGAGGTGACGTCGTTGACCGATCCCAAAGACAGCGTGCGCTTGTGAACGTGAAAGCTTCGCCTGCGGGCTTAGGACACGATTAGCATCGTTTCTGTACGAAAGAGTATATATATGCGTGTGCTCACGAAGCGCAGGGCGGACGTGTGGCAAATACGACGAAGGTTACAACGCTACTGATCACCTTGGCTCCAAAAAATCAACCAACTGTTCATATATCACGCACTTGCGACTTTGTACAACATAGCCGTCTGCAGATAATGCTGGTAACAATGCACGTTTCCGAGTTCAAATCCCGAGTTTAAGCAAATACCGCCGATGGACACGTGATTTCTTTCTATAACATGCATAATACCAGAAGTAGATAATAGGGAATCTCTAAGGGGTCCCTATTATCTAGTTCTGATAATACTAACTGAAACTGAAAACTAATCTCTGTGTAATTACTGCCTGTTTCATTACGCAAATCTCTGTATAGTTAGTGCCTGTCATATTACTCATACCCATACTAGTTAGTCGTACACTATTACTAGCAGCACCGTCAATGTACGGTCTAGGCTAAGTAGTAGCTTTGCAGAAAAGGTCAATAACAGGGAGAATTCGGCTCATAAAATACACAGCATGTACGTTGTACCGGCTCACATTCACCGGTTTTATTTGCGCTCTTATATACAAAGCCGCACGTAAGCAAATGTGAACCACGGAGATTGGTAGGAAGTCGTGCATGAAACGTCGCATCAGAAATAGCAATCATGTTTCAATCGGCTCCTCTACCGACGATACGGTTGTGATTCATGAACTTGCAAATTCAAACGTGCATGCATGCGCGTGCATCATCTGAATCTTTATTCGCCTTCCGCTTCCATTTATCTACTGCCCACATACTCGGGAGTGTAGTCTAATGTGACGTACATTTCTTAGTTGTCCGCTTTTATCGTTCAATTCTATTCGCTAGTTTAGCTGTTTTCTCTACATCGAAAACGTGTAAATGCTTGTCTACATGGCCATCTCTTATTATATATAGCGGTATAATCGCTATACATTTCAATAGCGATATCAACTGGAGATATTTTCGCCACAGTCTAGCCGGCATGATCTATGCGTCTGAACGCTAAGTATAAGATCGGCCTTGCACGTAGTTAGCTAATAGTTCTGTAAACTACAGGTAAACTATTATGTATTCTAATTTTGTTAATGATGTTACGTTATTAAATCTGCTCTCTGCCTTTTATGTGAAATGTCGTGTATTTTCTTACCATCGTATTTTTTTAACCGTTATCATGAAATTAATGACCTTTATAACATCAACCGCCCTTTCTCAAGCTACTATGCTCAATGTACCGAGAAAATTACATCCGCCTAATTTCTAAATCGCCAGCGGCAAAAAATTCCATCTAATTCTACTTATAACTTGTCGGAGAAACTAAACTATCGGAATGATTGTCCTCTATTGGTCGACGGCTATACGCGGGTTGTTAAAAACGTTGAACGTTTTTAACGACTTAGAGCAGCTTTAAATTATAATAATAAAATGAGTTAAAGTTGTCTATTAACTAATGAAGCTTTCATTGATGAAGTTATAAGATGTTGTCATTTGGCTGCTTAAAGTAACGTGTATAGTAAGTACATTGATGTTGAGCTTTAATAAATTATGTAAAAGTATTAAATTTGTTGATCGTCACTTAATTAATAACTAGTAAATTCGTTTCTTTTTCTTTAAACCTTTATATTAAGTAGTATTTTTAGTTTTGCGATTCTAGTTGGAATCAGCATTTTACCTTTTTCTTACACATATAATCACACAGGCTTACACACTCACACAGACGCAGAAACGCATGCGCTAAATGGAATTATTCTAATTTTACCTGCCATTTTGATTGATTTTGTTAATTTATAGTGATAGATATGTGTATGTATGCCGAGATATTTGTATCGTCGACTGCGTGCGATTATGTCGTGGTAGCCATATCTAGCTTCAGATATTTACCGGACGTCAACGTTTAGTATTGTATCGTGGTTCTCTTGTAAGCTTGTCGTTATTCGGTCAAGGTATGGGAACGGGAGCGGCCGTGGGGTAAGGAGTAATAGTTGCGTAAGACGTAAAGCAAACACGAACTAGTAACGTAACGTAGGCCCTACCACAAGCGGTTGTATCATCAGCCATAGCGAGTACAACAAGACACAACAGGTATTGTACAACACGCAGGGGGGACGACAGAGCGTATAGGTAGAGGTCGAACGAGGGAGGGGAGTTCTCCCGGTCCCGGGCTCGGCGCGTTTTATATACCCGCGGTCCTTGCGCCCGACCTCCAGGCGTCGTGTCGTCACCTCTCCGGGATCTACGTCGACTACGGGTTAAGGTATTCCAGCACCATGTATCCCTCACTCAGCTCTCTGCTTTCCAGTGACATTAATTACCTTATTGCTTCTCGTGCGTCGATGCGTCGTTGCGTCGATTACCCTCGTGCGTCGATGCGTCGTTGCGTCGATTACCCTCGTGCGTCGATGCGTCGTTGCGTCGATTACCCTCGTGCGTCGCACGCTGGCTCATCGCCCGCGCCACTAGTACGGCATCACGCTTAATTAATAGGCATGAGCGCAGCGGCGCCACACTGTCATATTAACTTGATTCCGATATCGTTGCGCATGAAATTATTCATAGCAAACGAAGATTTGCATATTTAATTACATTTATTAGGTATTTTCTACAAATAAAATTGGATTTGTTTATATCATGCAGACGTAGTGACTACTATGTAGATTTACATATAGCTCATAAACTATCGGCGTCTACACGTAACTACACGTAATACTTGGCTATTCAGCATACATAATGCTGTAATTTATTGAGTAAAGTTATGTGAATAGTTCTCTGACGGTAATCATAATTCCCACATGAAAATACGATCGTGACAAAATCTTTCTGCATATAAAATTCAAATGATCAACGAGTAACTACTCATGGCGGTTCGCTCAGCAAACAACATTACATCCAACTAAACGATGAGCCAAGGGACACATGCACACGCCCGCGCCCACGCACGAACGCGCGCGTACGAACGCACACACAAACCAGCATGTTCTGCTAGCATCTATGACAATTACGACATACGCATATACGCTCTCCTATGACACTATTTGTCAGGGAAAGATTCTTCCTATGACAAATATTGTTGTACGTGTAGTACGCATCATATAGGAGTTTAGGAGCGCTATTATGAACGCAAGCAGTGCATTTTAGCTGTAAAGCGGAACGAAGTTGACTCGCCAATATTTGTCATATTGGATTTCATTTGTTATAGTGGAAGAATCTTCCTATGACAAATAGTGTCATAGGAGAGCGTATATGCGTATGTCGTATTTGTCATAGGAAGATTCTTCCTATGACAAATAGTGTCATAGGAGAGCGTATATGCGTATGTCGTATTTGTCATAGATGCAAGCAGAACATGTTGCACAAACACATATATTGCACGCACGAACGCACACACAAACACATACGAACGTACTCGCGTATAATACATATTTTTAAGAGGAGCACTGAACCTACAAATATGCTTGCCATGCCCCCGGCGTGATAAGGCACAGACGCGGTAACACCCAGCGAAAACCAGGAATGCCATCCTCCTCAGCCTCCGCATCCGTCATGATCACTTTACGGTCAAGCACACGCGCTTAACTACGTGCCGGCAAAGTACTAAACGAGCTGCGATGCGATACGAGAGTTTGGATTAACCGGGTACCTTCTCCACGCCTCCGCGTAGTAAGACAGTTACTGCTCGTAAACCCCGATCTGATTGAAAACGTCGTTTTCCACCTGCGCTTCTTCGAGCGCAATCTGTCAAATCGTCGACAATGTCATAACCCACTCGTGCCGGTGATTATTTGCGTATGCTACCCGATCTCTGCTCATTTGCGGCCGTCGGGGTCGGCATTAGTGGCGTGGGTTTTTTCGTACTTCGTATATACCTATGACTAACCAGCCGGAAGCAGTCCATTAAGAAGTGCAGCTGCCGCGCTCTCTAGATCTCTTTCCTATCGGCTGTGTGTTCCGCAAACACGAATAACTGGCGGTATAGTAGCATTTGCGCACGAGGCGTATAATACGTCACGGATTGCCGTGATCAAAGCAGTTTGCAAAACGTTCTCGTTTGTTGCTGTTTTTATCGGTTCTTTTTTTGCATTCCCTTTATTAAACCGTCATATCACGGGAATTCTTAATAAAATTCTGCTCAAATAATTTTTCAATTATATATGTTTGATTCTATCATTGTGTCGCATTTTAAATTGTAACTATTTTTTGACCAAGGATCACGTTATTTTAAATTTAGTATATATTCTAAAGATGGTTTTTAGTTTAGTGATATAATTTTACGAACCAACATTTTAAGTGATATCTATGTCTTACCATGGGACATATATTATTGTAAATATCATTAATTTTAGTTTTATACTGCCTGATGATATCTTGTTTGCAAAATTTATTTTAATTGTAACGTTGTTAACACTAGTTTTGCAATAAACCTATTATCTATCTATCTATCTATCTATCTATCTATCTATCTATCTATCTATCTATCTATCTATCTATCTAACTACATGCAGGCATGCTAAACCTCGTTATAGAATAAACATTGCTAATTCATTTAGTGAAACTAGCCATGCATGTCTGTATAAGATTAGTAAGAAATCAATAATCGCGTTATTTCAGACTTAATTGATATGTTTTATTTTAAGTAATTTGATTACGCAAAATCATTATAGTTACCTAAATTAATGCTTCTCATACGTTATTCGCATATTGCTAATATAATAAATACACTGCGTCGTGTTAAATGAATACGCTCGTATAGGTTTCTTATTGAAAATAATATCGCAATTCTCAACTGTTGTAAGAAGAATTGAATCACACCCCCTAGAGCCTAAGCGGATGTATCCCAAGTTTGTACGTAGCGACATTTGGAACGTACGCTCGCACCTGCACAATAGAGCATTAATGGTATCACGCCACGGGCATTAGAGCGTACAGGCACAGCGCGTGTTTTCATAACTTCGATTTTATAACTAAATTCTGGTAATGCGTATGTACCTACATAATCGCAAGAAGTTGGAAGTGCAGGCAAGAAACATCCGCATGTATGCATGTTCTAGCTTATGGACTGTATACATGTATACAGTCCATAAGCTAGAAGGCACTCGGGGAGTGCGAATCCTCCGCACACGCGATCACTACACCTGCGATATTTTGTAGGCTGAGCTAGGTTACTACTTCTAATGGATGACGTTGACCTTGGTAAAATATCACTCAAAATGAATACTTGTCAAGACGCGGTGGCGTGTGACGCAATCATCCCCCAGTTCACACATTGTGCAGATGCTATTCCACAACGTAGTGAAATAAATCGATATCCTGCGGACGAAGTGTAGCTCTATAGAGATTACTGTTCAAAATATACTTAATGACCATGTTAACTTGGTCACTCAGAATCAATATGGTTCTACCGCCCCATACGCTGTACCTGTGGACCAAGTTTGAAGTTTCTAACTCTTAAGGTTGAAAAGATACCGAGCAGACAGACAGACACACGTACGCACACACACACACACACACACACACACACACACACACACACACACACACACACACACACACACACACACACACACACACACACACACTACACACTACACACACGACACAACGAACACAACAACTACTACCTACTACTACTACGTACGTACGGACGTACGTACTACTACACGTACGACGTAATACTAACGTA